AGTGTAAAAAGCCTACAGGCTAAATGAAACACTCAAAGATCTCATCTCATTACCACTACTGAAAAGCCTTCCAACAGTGTCCTCTGCTAGACTCAAGTTCCGGAACAGATCATCCAAGGAAGCTGGGGACTCTCCACCACTCTCAGAGAAGACTTAGAGAAGCCTCTGTCAGGACAGGATTATTATGCCTCCAGGCTGGGCATAAGAACTGCTCAGGATCCCTTCCACACTTACTTTGTCTAATCCCCAGAAAAGGAAATTTTACAGGTAGTTTCTGTTGTAAATTCTTAGATATCTTTTGTTGAAATTCAGTGCAGGGCTGAATCTCAGCATAGAAACAAAGCCTAAACAAATTATTTTCAAGAACTTGTAAGCGGAAAAATAATAAGCACCTCAAACTCTAAAGATCAACTTTTGTCACAAAGATTACTCACACATTATATAATCTATTCCACTAATTTACAATTCATCAGTCACTACGACCAATTATTTATTTATCCCCAACTCCCCCAACTATAATTGTATACAATTACTTTATTTTTTCCTAATGTTTGTTGTTTATGTCATGAAATTATTTACCTTTGCACACAAACTAGAAAACCAGGATGAAGAAAAATCATATACATAACACTGATAAAACCCTATTTTGAGGAAGAGTACTTATTCTTCCAAATCAAAATCTCTGACTCCATTACCCCACTGGGATATTTCAACACCACAGAAATAATAATCTGTGGCAATGTTATCTCAGCTGTTCTCTGAACACCACAGAGGAATTCAAAATTGGTGCAAAATGCAGGCTTCATAAATGCAGTGCCAACTTCCTTAATTCACTTTCAAATCTCAGTAGTGAACAAAACTCCCACAGAAAATAAATGCAACTTTTCTACAGGCTGTGAATGTAGACTATGTTAACAGAGCTCTTGAGCGTGGATAAGAGTCAGTGAATATCAACCAGAAAGCTAGATCCACAAGTTTGCTTTTCATTCTCTTGAATGCAACAAGAGGCCTTGCAGAGGGATCAGAATAGATTGGAGCACTGGGCAGTCATCAATGGCTTGAAACTTAACAAGAACAAATGTGTATTTCTGCACCTGGGATGGAGTAACACCGGGCACAAGTATAGATTGGGAGAGGAGTGGCTGCAGAGCAGCCCTGCAGAGAGGGACCTGGGGTGCTGGTTGACAGCAGGGTCATTGTTGCGTTGTATTTAGAGTTGGTGCGGCCCCACCTTGAGTACTGTGTGCAGCTATGGGCCCCACAGTTTAAGAAGGATGTGAAGGTCCTTTAATGCATCCAAAGGAGGGCAACAAAGATGGTGGAAGGGCTGGGAGGCAAGTCCTGTGAGAAACAGCCAGGGACTCTGGGTTTGCCTAGTTTGAAGAGAAGGAGGCTGAGGGGCGACCTCCTTGCTCTCTACAGCTTCCTGAGGAGGGGAAGTGCAGAGGGAGATGCTGGTCTCTTCTCCCCGGGATCCAGTGACAGTACGCATGGGAATGGCTCAAAGCTGCGCCAGGGGAAGTTTAGGCTCGACATTAGGAAACATTTCTTTACAGAGAGAATGGTCAGACACTGGAACAGGCTTCCTAGAGAGGTGGTCAATGCCCCATGCCTGTTGGTGTTTAAGAGGCATTTGGACAATGCCCTCAACAACACCCTCTAACTTCTGGTCAGCCCTGAAGCGGTCAGGCAGTTGGACTAGATGATCATTGTAGGTCCCTTCCAACCGTAACATTCTATTCAGCTCTGTTCTATTCATTCTAATGATGGAGGTTCCAAATACGCACCTGCTGCAGGGCTGTTCAGCATCTTCCTGAACCCTGTGTCCAGTCAAATCAGGAAGGCCGAGCCCTGCTCTTGCTTTATATTCTATTTGAATGTTCTCCTTTAAATAATGCTCTGCATTTATTATTAGGAATATCAAATCTAAAGTCTAAACCTTAGTGCATTAAAAGGTACTGCAGTTCTTAAGAGTTGCTGTGACAAAGCATGGATGTCAATTGCCAAGCTGTGATTCACTGACCTTAAAGAGACATGTCATCCGTGAAGTGCCCTGTCAATCACCACTGTCTAAAACAGAGTCTCTGTGGCACAGAGAGTGAGGAGGTGTCATAGGTGTCCCCAAACACATATTTAACCCACCAATCTGCTGTACTTAACTTTAGTTGACTTTTGCCTTGTAGGTTTCTGCTTGTTTGTCTGGCAATTTCTTCCTCTCTTTTTGTGACATTATCAGCACTCTCAGAGAGAGTAGAAAGTGAGAGGCGCTCTGATAACATTGAATGTCTGGAGGTACATAAATCTGCTTCGTGCATATTTGAAGCAATTTTACCCTGCCATGTCCCTAAATTTTACCCATTTTAACTGCTTTTTTTAAAGCTTGTCTCAGACTAAGCTGATGTATCAGTCTTGGAGCACAGTGTCTCCAGGCTGGTGGAATTCTGTGGAATGCTTTTTTGATGCAAAATCAGACATTTTCTGATTGCTTTACAAATTGAAATCAGAATGCATTCATGTCACACCATTGTGCAACCATTGGAGAAATGATGCACGAAAAATTCTCTGTAGCATTGTTTAAAATTTAGAGCCATGAGGGAACTGTAAATGTTATTTTCAGCAAAAATTTAGTTTTCCAAGGTTGAAATCAGATGGAATAACACAGACAACCTCTCTGTTACTAACAGAAAAAAAAAATTACTGTAACAATTACAGCCCCTAAATCAATTTGGCTGCTCTTGACCATGTCCTTTAATAACCTAGAACACAAAAGAAGTTGTCTTTTATAAAAATAATCTGCTTCTACCAGCAAGACTTGTTTTCTTCAGGTCAAGTACAGAGTAGCTTTCAAACATACAATCAGCAATATTTACTACTTCCATTTCAAAGACATTTTTTCTAATTGCCCATGTGAAATTTTCACTCGGAAAAAAAAAAGTAGAGAAATACTGGAAAACCCTCATGAACTGGAAACCCATACAAACTTAAGGAGGGGCTCAGGGACAGGTGACAGACTGAAAATCACGTAATTTTTGAAAGACGCCAAGATGGAAACCAAAGGAACACAAATCTCAAATGTATGTTTTGCAGAGAAAAAAAAATGGGATGAAAGAAGAGTGGGGGAAAGAGGGGGTTAGTAAATCTACCAGCTGTAGAAATATTTTCCTGAAGCACCACGTTGAGGAAATACTTTGCATTGTTACATAAATTTCCCTGTAGCAAGAAAAAGTGCAACCACATGAAATCTGTATTTATCCCTGGCAAAAACATAAAAGCAATTCATAACAGTTTAATTTCAATAGAAAGAGACCTGTGATGCAGCAAGGGAGCTGTTTTTTGCACGACCACTCCCAGCAGAAAGAAGAGGACTGAAGCATGAATGGGGGGCAATGGATTGCGATGCTAAAACGAACCACCCTGGGGACCACAGCTCTCTGTGCTTCCCGTTTTGCTGCAGTCGCTTATCCACTGTACGCCTCAGGAAGGGCTACGTAAGTCAGCACAAAAAAAGGGAATTAAGGAGAGGAGGGACATAACATACCTATTACATACTAATCATCACAAGCATTATTTTTGGCTACCTATTGTCCCTCCTGTGCGTACTCCTGCTTCACCCTTGTTTCGGAGCAGTTTCAAGCTCATCTGATGGCAACCTGCTGCAAACCTGTGGTTTTGATGTGCCATGTTAGCAAACTAAGACAACTCACGACTGAGTGAGACAAGCACGAGACAGCAGGCATATGCCTCCCCTCTTAAACCCAGTTAGCCCAGCTCATTGGAGTATACTTCACTCAGGGCTATGTGATTCCATGCCAGGCACCCAAAACGCGGGTGATCTGAGATTATACGTCACCATGCCCACGTTCCCTTGTTTCTGAGAAACAGATTTTCATCCATAGATTTCTTCTCATTCCTTCCATAAGGCAATATGCATATTGTTTTTAATAAATATGCAGTTATTAGTTTCTTGGTTTAGTAACGTTAAGTACTGTACAGTTAAAAAGTAATTTGTTACACCGTAGTTTCACTTTAGGCAGCACCATGCTTTTGTCTGTGTAATTACTCTGAATAGGGCTGTGTATTCCTTTGTTAATGCAATTCACTCAGTCATGACCAGATCCCTTAACACAGGGAAAAATGCATCTGCTGTGTCATCTGACATAGTCAATATGCTTAGGTAGGAAATTATTTAACACTGTGGACTAGTAAGTTTGAAAGTTCAGTCTCAGTCCTCAGTGACTATCACTTCAACACTTTACAAAATCCACCAGCTATGCATGGTATCATGGTCTTCAATGAAGACCAAGGAGCTTGAAGCAAAATCCTCACTGTCTGAGCCTGACTAATGCTGCTGACTTCCAGTATAAGTATGCACATGCAAAAACATTTACTAGACTGTAGCCAAAATGTAGAAGTGATTTTCAAAATTAAGAGTCAATTAATATGATTAATTAGATTATACAAAGTATTTTATTTTCCCCTTTTTAAAAAATACATTCTAAAAAACATTTATAATACATAAAAATAATTAAAATCCACATACAAGACAGGCAAACATTAACAGATTTTGAGAGAGTGGTGACAAACATACCAAGAAGGGGGTGGAAAGTGTTAACTCTTCCAAGAAATATTTTTTAAACTGTGACTTTCACTTGTGTTAAGAATCCATTTGAGATATCAAATTCTATAACTGACATAGTGCTGTCTAGACTAATGCCATGGGTTTACATACCAGAGAATTAAAATGATCATAAACTCACATCTCTGAGTATAATACACCAAAGAGTTCGTGACCCAGATGTCACCTTGATTAAATATTGTTATTATTCAGTAGCACTTAAGGATTTTTGCAGAATAAAAACTCATTGTAGTATCAGACAACTACACAAACAACAGTCTTCCAAAACCGACGATGACATGAAGCTTTTGCTGCCCATCCTCTATTTATAAGCAAAACACTTTCCAAAGTCTTGTCCTTCATGTGACACCTTGTCACTGACCACTTAACTGCTGGTAGCACTGGGATGCAGTGGTTTGACTCTTGCTAGTCTGGAGAGGCCGAGTCTAAGACACTGAGTAGGTGACTTAACTGAAACATACTTCACAGAGTTATTACTGCTTCCCGATGCAGCTGAAAATAATTGTAAAACAAAAAGAAGGTGTAAGAGGTTTAGAAAAAAAATAATCATAGAACCATTGTCCTTTTATAGTTTTCATAGCAGAACAAAAAAAGTATTCTAAAGATATTGCAAAAAGGTTAGAACAAAATACCACGGAAGCACACGAATATCAGCATACTCCCCAGGAAACAACCTATTTGGGAGCCAATGCAGCAGGCACGATGCACAGTTTTAATTAACCAGGAACACACTGGAGCAACACTGGACAAGCACATAAAAACTGTTCACAGTGTACTGTGCGTTTTCAGGTGCTCCACAGAGAATCACACAGGTGAACACAATTCCAAGCAGGAAAAATACACTTGAAAGAAAGGAGCCAAACAAAAAGAAAAGAAAAGTAGATATGAAGGAAAATCAAAGTAAGAGGCAGGAGTCAGCAGCAGCTTGCTCAAACACCTTAAGAAAATAAAGCTACTAAGCATTTGCTTTACTAGAGCAGTTAAAACACTGCAACATTTTTCGAGTATTATTTGTTTAGAATATATAATAATGCAGCACGTACCAGAAAGATCTTAGTAAGAGAGAAACTTAGAATATATAATAATGCAGCACGTACCAGAGATAAAGAAAGATCTTAATAAGAGAGAAATGGCCACAAAACATCTCCTGATTAAGATTTGATCCACACTCTGGAAAATATTTTATTAACCTCCCCACATAAAGGAATTAAGGATAATGCTGTTAAGAGGAAAAGAAGCAGAGAGATAGCTTTTCTTTCTTTTTTTTAAAAAAATCTAAGGTCAAAAGAATACCTTTCATTATAAGAGGGCAGTCATTTTTCTGAAATACTGACTATTTGCATGCTTTTAGGAGAGATTGCTAAAAACTTAAGTCAACCAATGTATCTGTTTATAAACCTAGAGGTACCTGGTGGTATCCATTTAGGCTTCTTGTCTGTTACAGGACTTGATGTATGCAGAGGCCTTCCAACTGGTTCTGAAGTACTGGAGATCTTCTTTCCTGTTGGCTCAGATTTTTGTTCCATTATCCGTGACGGAGAAAGTCCAGGTGATACTTAGTTGGAAAATAAAAGTGATCTCAGCAAGATACTCTTTAGCAGAGAAATCATCACACTGCATACAGATCACTGTATAGGGCGAGTTCACTGCACTGAGTGACATAATGAGTTAAGTTACTAGACTGTCACATCTTTAACAGTATATACGTACACAGTCAGTCCTGTCGTATTCTGGAATTCCAGCCCTGATTTGCAAATAATTTGTAACAATTTCTTGTTGAAGATACCAAATTTATCTATTCCTTCAGTGAAAATAAAAGGGACTTTTATTATAAAGAAGTCTATTTCAAATTCATAGCACAAACTTACCTGTAGTATTAATCTTGGATTTGGGAGCTTTCTTCTCTCTTTCAGCTGGCATCTTTTGTGTGGTTTTCTTTTTATTTCCTTTGGCTTTCTTCTTTTCCATAGCAAAGTCTTCATCATCATCTTCACTATAATCTGAATCTTCTTTTGACTCCTCACCTACAGCAAGGAAAAGGGATGTCATTGCTTTACAGGAAATACAATCTACTATTACTCCAGGGACTTCTAATCACATTCTGGACATAAAAAACGAGGATATCTTAAGGATGAAGTAAAATAAATTTGCACATATTTGTATGCTGAACTGAGAAAGAAATAGCCACCATAAAACTTTCTGTATTTACAGAACTCTTGCTCTGTTCTTTAATAACGGAACACCCTGGATAAACACACAACAATAATTTTAACAGCAGAACTGCCAATATTCCATGTGTGCAAGATGAAAAAGTTAAAATTATGTGGCAGGACTTCTGATTTTTACATATTCTTAGTCATGACTCTTTAAAGTGGAAAACCACTATGTCTTACTTCAACTGTAAGAAAGATTTTATTAGATTTATTATTAAAAAAACGTAGACATTAGCAAATCTCAAACATAGTTCTCTATCAATGGGAATATCTGGATTATTCCCGTGATATTTTATTTCACTGACAATTCTAGAAATATTTTCCAATAAACCTTGCAGTAAGGAATAAAAGAATGCATACAGACATGTTCACCACTGGGAAACGAGAAAGACATCTATCATACTCTGCAGGCATTCAATACCGGCCTGCTACCAGAAGCAGAGTATGAGGCTAGGCTGACCTCCAGTCGGATGCAACATGGTTTTCTAAGAGCTGAGGACTGGAGGAAGGAAAGACGACAGGCTACTTACTTTTTAAAAGAAACGTAAACAAAGCCAATACTGAAAGCACTAACACCTGACACTACTCCAGAGTCTCTGTTTTGATGCAAACCCCAGACAATGACTAGAAAAATGAATAGAGTCTAAACTTTCCTGGACAAAGAGGGCAGAAGAAGTTTCTTCTGACATACCACAGCAAATTCAGAGAAGCAGTATAATTTTTGCCAGTTTGGGGAATGCGTATGAATAAGCTCCAGTGTTTAGATTTAGTGTCAAACTGCCGCTAGTATTAAAAGAGTGGTGGGGGGGGGTGGTGGGGGGGGGAGACACAGGAGAAGCAGTAGGCATTTCACTGAAAACATAAACTAAATGGAAGGCACCACATGCAAAGCGTATCTAAGGAGAGGGAAGAACTTACTGGGTACAGACTCTGGCTCAGAGTCAGTAGGATGCTTTCCATCATCACTGTCAATGGTCAGCAACTGCTGATGTGCTGGAACTTTAGATGCTGCTGTCCTTTGCCTACCATCACCCCTAGGTACATCATCGTCCATAACTTGATTGAGACCTACAGAACACAAGGTGGTCTAATTAATTAAAATTCACACTAAATGTGTTCTCCTTAAAAAGAAGGAGGTATTTGAGCCCCCAGAATTCATTCTCATTTTACTTTTTTAACTGACTGAACTGTAATCTCTGGTTGTGAAAGTTATCAATATTTATCTGTACTCAAACTAATAAAAGGACAGAAGACCAAAAATAAAACTGGAAAAATGAAGAAGTTTCCACTGGCACAGCAAATGTTTTGGTCAGATTTATTTGATGCTCGGGCATTAGGGACCCATTACGGAGCTGAGGGTTAAGTGTAGCTTCTCGAAGAAGTAAATAAACTCAGCATCCAAAAACATCACACGTCTGTTGTTTTTTCCAACTAACTTTCAGTGATCTGTAACAATCTCATTCAGCCATCCAGAGGTTTCCCCATTCTAAGACAGAGACCAAATTTTTAATGAAAAAACTAATGCATCCTTCAGTCTTTAAGACTTATTTTCCACATAAGTGAAAAACAGAAAACAACAGAAACAAAGAAAAAATGTATCTTAAATGTATCTTGAAATGCTATTTCTGAAAAGACAAGAGTATGAGAAAAACTTACCTAAAAGGTCACTGTCTACACTGCAGTTGGAAAAGAGAGGTCTCCTTTGTACATTTTCTGATTCAATACTTGTAGCTGTTTTAGAAGCCAGAAAACAAACAAACAATAATATAAAATATTAGTATTCAAAAAACATATTATAAAAAGTCAAGATATTAGGAAATGAAAATAGCTAACATTTTTATCTGTCTCTAATCAAACTACATGTTTGGAAGATCTTATAGAAGAGTTATTTTTCTTACAGAAGAAAACATGAACATAAGAAGGCAGGCACTACCTAGAAATTCTCTTTTCCTTATCATGACATCTTGAAATAAAATATGACTTTCAACCAATTTCACTGTAGAATGAATTAAGTCATGTTCAAATTCACTACGTATAAATAAAGTGTGCTGCACTGAATGGTAAATTAACCTTGTTTTTCTGAATTTTGCACCTCAAGGATATTTGCAGATTTTTCTTTGACGGATAAGGCCAAGGCATATTCCAAATCTCTTTGATAAAGTTTGTCATCCAAGGATATCCTGGAAAAGAAACCCCACACACGCTAAATAATAAAACAATGGTATGAGTTTTATAGATCTACTTCTGACTCACTGAACTTCTTAAATACTTGTAAAGAGATTAATATTTCAATACATACTTTATAAAGTATGCATAGCATATTACAAATATTACTTCCCGAAAAGACTTAGACAAAGTATATAATAATATTTAAAGGACACTACACTTAAAAGTATTGTAATTGCAAGGCACTGTGTGTATATACATATATATATATGCACTAATAACTGGCATTATCACAGAAAAAGGTGATTACATTTGTTTGAAATACCACACTGAAATGTAATATTTATGCACAACTTTACCACCAAAATAATCAGATTTCTTTTTTCGTTGACATTGAATTTGTATTTTCTGTCAAGCTTTAAATATGTTCTTTTTTTAAGGAGTCAAACTTGTCTGTATGTTTCTGGTTTAGGAGTCCTTAGGTAACGAGGAATTGTCACAGTTATTTTGCACTGTAGAGATACCAAGACAAGAGCTGACATGCAAACCTGCTTCTGCACCTACGCAGGCCGCCTGCTGGAGTTTTTTAGAGCTGTACCAAAACAGACATATCTCACTACTCAACTCAGGCAAGTTTTCCTGACTCTATGCATAATTGCATTACCTCTGATTTGCAACTATACCAATAAAGGTCAAAATCTTTATTCCATTAATATGTTAGTTGTTAATTCTCAGCTGCTTAAAACACTAGGGAAAACAAACAAACAAACAAACAAACAAATACTGTTATTGAAATCCAGCTTTACAGAGAGTTGACCTCATTTCAACATTTCTTACCTTTTACTGGGTGTCTGCTTTTGTGACGGAGTCAATTCTTTGTGTGGCTTTTTTTGCTTCTCTTTTTTCTCCTTCTTTGCATCCTTGAGCTGTGTTCTGGATTTTTTGCTTGAAGGTGCAGCTATACATGCGAAGTCATCATCTGGGAAACAGCAACAGGCTTTAATGAGTTTTCCTACATTCTTCCACACAGCCCAAACAAGTCACTGAAATTAATTTCATCACACACTGAAACTATACCAAAGATAACCTTCTCGAAATGGATTCTACTTTTAAAGAACACAATTATACTATTCTCAAATGTGTTTCAATGAAAATTTAACAAGACCTCTTTTGCATATACTTCTATTCAAGAGGTAGTTATTTCAATTTTTATTACCAATATGGCAATAAAGCTTCAATGTCCAATGTGATACCAGATCTTCAATAACTAGAAGTCCACCTTTTGATACGCTGAACAGCAATCAATTATAATAGTTATTGCTTCATTAAACAGTTTTGAGCTCTTGGTGTTTGGGAAAATGTTCCCCCTAACGACTCCTATTCTTAAAAAACGCAGGCTGCTCCCCTTTTATGACCATTTTCATATTGCCTCTTGCCAAACACAATGCATTTCTTCATTTTTCAAAGAAAACGGGAAGGCACGAAAACTGCCTTTCTTCTGACTGAGGACACTGCATATCACAATGCAAAATAAGGGAAAAAAAGAATCATCTTCAGTATTCCCTAAATGACGGAGAACCTTAGATAAGATCACCAATGTTTCTGAGAATTTTCACCTTCTTTTAATATGACAAGTGGTCACTCACAAACTAAGGAAAGTCATGCACCACATTTGAACTAAGAATCTGCATAAATCTGTATGATTCACATGAGACCTTCAATACTATTTACCTTTGCCCTCCCCTTCCCACCAATCCAAACTGTTCCCCGAATCCTGCAAACAGCATAGGAAAAAAAAACCCCACAAAACATGAAAGCAAATAAATTCTGTAAGAAAAATGCATAACACCCATTAGGGCTTAGAAGGAGGACTGTCATGAAAACAAATAGCCTGCAATCTATTCTTCTTATCAGTGGAACTGAAAATTTGACTGCTATGTCCTTACCCATCAAGATACAGAGCTGTAGGAGAAATGTTAGATCTGGGTACAGATGATTCACATCTCCTTTATATCCTGATTTACAATCCTGTGAACTGATAAGCAGGACATACAGCAAACAACTACCACCAAAAAATGAGGCAGGGAGAGAAACATTTTCCTGCAACACCACACAGCGCGTTCACCAGTTTCCTGACACACTCTGGTTAGGCTCTGGCTTACAGCCATCGTATTCTTGTTGAATTAGGGTATTTAACAGCATGCCTGTATTACTCCCAGTGAAAACAGTTAAGAGCCTTCTCAATGAGCTAATTAATTAAAAACACTCCAATGATACTGTTGTCCCACAAGCGAGGTCCGGTACCCGGTGTGCAAAACGCCAATACACACACACAGTTGAGGTACATTATTTCACTGATGTGCACCAACGGGTGTCTGTCCCAAGACAGCGCAACTGGCCTCAAGAGTTTCCTGTAATTATACACTTAACTAACTATATGTTCATCATTACTCTCTTCGATGATTGGTTCTTCTTCCTCGCTTCTGATGCAAACTAGTGCACAGTCTCTGTCGTCTTCTTCTATTGTCCCTTTTGAGTAGGTGGTATCACTTGGGTAGGTGGTCAATGAGTTGGTGGTCGCGACCTCCCCTTGCCGGAATTACCTTTTGCCTACTCCTTCTCCAACCAAGCAGTTCTTCGTGGTTTGCCGGCCAAACCACAACCCATCACCCTTTCTGACAGAGCCACATTGTCCCATAGTGCTTAAATTTAGTCTCAAATCGTGTCCAGTTACTGTTTCACCCAAGTTGGATCAGGACCACACAAACGGCTCTGAGCAGCTTCCCCGTTGCTTCAATCACGCTTTACATTCCTTTAATTCCAACGACAACAATACTTTGGGTGGTTACATTAGTGTCCGGCATTTTTGTTACGTACAAAACACACCACTCACCGTCATCTTCCGAATCCCCAAATTGAGAATAATCAACCATTTTCTTGCTCCTGTGGCAAAAAAACCCATGCACTGTTAGTCCTCTCAGACTGGCTAACACTTGATTTTTGGGTAAATCGTGTCTTACAAGGAAGA